TGGTATCATGTACATATAGTACTCGATATCCTAAACAAAAAATACCGCTCGATATCCTGTAGTAATACAGCTTGGTATCCTGTATATTAACCATTCGGTATCCTACACATGAACCACTTAGTATTCTACAGCAGTACCACTCGGTATCATGTAATTGAACAATGAAAAGTAGAAGTAATTAAGCTCAAACCAACCCAATGGAAACTTGAAACAAATATGAAAGGTTTGTAAAGCCATGGGGAAATCTTGTTCTTCTCTGCTAGAGTGATGGAAAAAGCGTTAATATGGTTATTATCTAGGTATTATTGAGTTATTATTTCTTCAATTTGACTTCAATAAATAACAATGTTTCCTGCTAAAAAAATAGTGTCCGCCCTTCAAAATAACAAATATTAGGCTTAACATTATGTTAGGTAGAAAAGGATAACATTATGTAGGGACAGCACTTACTTATCATTGAACTTCTCTAAACATTTGTATATGAAAGTGGACATCTCCTCAGTTATCTTTTCCCAGCCAGGGTAATAAATTTTACTTGCTGCTTGTCTCGGCTTAATTTTATCTTCCTCATTGACATCTATAATTTCACCAATTTTGCCAGCTTTATGACTCTTCCTTTTACCTGTTATAAATGGGCTCTTAACAAATTTCCTCTTATGATCAGCCCTATGCCTAACCCTTTTAGCAATGCCTGTGCTATCTGGCTTGATCGGTATTTCCACTGCTTCTTATGACTTTATATGGTGAAGCAGTTAAATCCTTTATTGTTGTTGTCGGACCCACATCAACTTTCTCTGCCTGAGCCTCTTCTTTTTGTATTGCTTTTGTATAGCCATTGGTGAAAGAGGTATAATATCTTCAGGTTTAAAATCCTTAGGTTTAACATCTTCAGGTTTAACATCTTCAGGTTTAATATCTTCTGGTTTAATATCTTGCAGTTGAACATTTTCGGGTTGAACATCTTCTGGTTTAATATCTTCAGGCTCCATAAAGATAGGTGCGTAAGGCTCTATATCATTTACTTTCAATGTAGCCGAGAAGTTGGACTCAAGAAAATTTTGAATTGTTTCAACTTTTCTCTCTAAATCGTTAAGGTCAAACACTGCCTGCTCTAATGATTCAACTCACTGCTCTAGCAAGATAGATGTTGTTTCAACTTTGTCAAGCCTGGTAATGAGGATTTTATTCTGTGATATCAGCTTGGCCATGTTCTAATGGTTGTCATCATCTAGCGGTTTGGATAGGTAGATTTTTGTTTAGCCGTCCTCTTCAGGTGGTGGGGAACGTATTTGGGGGCTGGCTGTCCTTTTGGGTAGAGTGGTAGCCCTTGGGCAGCTTTTGGACTATAGGATTTTAATTCAAACTTTGGGGGAAGGTTCTATTGAGGTAGTGGGAACCTTACATAAAAAGGATCTATCCTCTTCAGTTATTTGTTCAAATTCTTTTAATATATGCAAAACATAATTTTTTAAAAGGCGATGATATATACATTACTACCATAATTCTAATGCACATACATGTACATCGTCAAGTGATTCAAATAATTCATCTACTTCTTTCTCATTGTACATTAATTAGCTGTCCCATTGAGCAAAACGAGGCTGCGACTGCTCATCCATTGGTGTGTGTATTTTGGTATGTTCGAGAAACCATATCTTCACCCATAACAAACATTTTGATAGCCAATTAATAATATTTATAGAATGGCTAACTAAAATATTATGCATAAGATTTGTACTCACAATAAGAATTGTTACAAAACCATTAATATAACCTAGGGAAATGCCATTCATATGCTTCTTGACAATCAAATCAAATTCTTCAACAAGAAAGTTTCTTATGGTTAAAGACCAGTTGTAAGTTAAGAAATCATCAACATTGTCTACAACTGTCATGATACTTGAAGGTGTCCTGAAGTTTGCTAGGGGGAAAAATAGATTGGACAATAAAAATTTAATGAAATGCTGTAGAAGTTTATGTACTATGGTGGACTCCTTCAAAATCTCAATTTCATGTCTAATATCGTTAGAAGTTACCCCATTTATCCTTCCACTCTCAACCACAAATTTGTTACCCCTATTGGGTAGTCCAATGATGAGAGCTACCTCATCAGAAGTGAAAGGTAACTTCTTTCCATTGATTACGAAGCACTTCTTCTTGAAACTCCATTTGGTCAGCAACATATGAACAAGAGGAAAGTTCTAACGGAAAGCAGGCAAGAAGAGGAATTGATGAAGGTGCAGCAGCTTCAAAACATCAACAAATTTTTAGCCGAATGTATTTCTCAAATGATCACAAACTTGTCTAAACGTAGAAGCTCTGCACCTAAAATGAATCTTTGGATAATATCACTTCAATTTTGGAACAATAAACAAGTACTTAGAGATATAAATCGAGCAAAGCATTGGACTATACAGAGTACCAAGTAAAGTACCGAGCAGTGTACCGAGTATAATATGAAGCGCCTGTGGTACTGAGAAGAGTACCGAGTATGCTACGGTACCGATCATTACCGAGAGATAACTCGCAGTGTACCTAGTAAAATATCGAGCAGTTGAGTTTGAAAGCGCTCGGTACCACGCACAGTAGAACACTAGATTAATAAATAACTCAAGCAGAAAATGAGAAAAGAACAAAATACAAATCCCTAAAGCTCGGTACAAAACCCTAAATCTCGATACAAAATAACGTAAGCTCAGTACTACGCTCTGTACCATGCAAAAAATTGAGTCAATATCGAGCGCACAAAATGAAACCATACATAGACCATTTCCCTTCCATGCATGAAACAAGAATACAAAATCATAATCCACTTACAAAACCCTAAAAATAAATTCCATTTGTGTGACAAAACCATAAAATATACCGACTGTAGTACTGAGCATGGTACCGAGCTACAAAAATTTATAGAAAAAACTTCAACTGAAGCAAGAAAATATGAACCTTCGGCATAGCTTCGGCAATGAATATGATGAGGAAGAAACAGATTTACAAATGAAGATGAGCAGCCGAGCTTAAAAGAGGAGAAGTAAGGTCAACCAAAAGGGAGCGAGTTTTAATTTGTAACGTTTAAGAAAAAACGTAATAAAAGAATGACTTTTTACCTTCAGTCCAGGTCGGGTTGTCAGGCCGCGTGGTAAATGGAAAAGCACGTGCAAAAAAAAATCTAGCGGGCGCGTCGGGTCGTTGGGTCGCGTCGGATCTTCGGGTCACAACGTGGCATCATCATATTGGATTCTGGATGTATAGATGCGTCTGGTGACCTGACCCAATATTTTTCCTCAAAGGGGAGCTCGGTGCTTCTTGTGCATAGGATTTGGGTTATGGCTAAGTGGTTGTAGGTTCTCTCACTTCTAAACCAAATAGGAACAGATTTTGTTTTTTACCTTCCAAACATAACAAGTGTAGAATTTCTGCTTAACTAAGTAGTTTTCTCCCTAAACCTAATGAGTGTGAATTTTATCCTCACCAACACCATTCTTCCCTACCAAATTAAGCGATAAGCGTGAGAATCCTCAACCATACACCCAACCGAGTAGACACGATTACTCATCTTATTGAAGCTACACTCTCTATTCTCTTTACATCTACTTTAACCTTTACTCTACAACTTTTTTTTTTTTTTTTCAAAATATTAAATATAACAGTAATAACACTAATTATTAGATGAAAGCTAAGAGGGAATGGGAATGAAACAATCATTTATCTTTTCTCTCATAATTTTTTCTTCTGTCTAGTAATTTCATGTCCCGGTAGTTTAGAAGAACATTTATATTTTATTTTCAATGCCTGATTACAGCAGATATTTACTAGTTATATTTTCAAGCTATCAATAATTCTCCAAAGATATAGTTTCTAACATTTATATTGGTTTATATGAACTCTATGTGCCTTATAATATTTTAATTTATAACCATGTACACTAATATCTAAATATTAAGCATTTCCATTTATAATTACCTTTAAAAGGAGACTGGGTGTTACAGCTGGAGAGCATTTTGACATTTGAAGCAGAGCAAAATTTCTTATCAAGCCATTCGCATTAGTAATTAATACGGATAAGAATTTGTTTTAAAAATTTTGCAAAAGGATTACCAAGAGCATAAACGAAAATTTCTTTTGAAAAAAATATTGCTAGAAATTTCTAACTGAAATTTTTGTTCAAATTTCTACCAAAATTATTTTGCTAAAATTCCGCTGAAAATCCCCGCAAAAATTTTTCGGTAGATTTGTTTTTTCGCTAGTTATTATTTTCCACTGAAAATCCACCCAAAATTTTTTCTGGTATATTTCTGATCAAAATTTACTGATTTTTGACGAAAAATTCCACTAGATATCAACCATTTTCTTATAGGTGCTTGGCTTAAAATATTAAAAAAAAAAAGCATACAATAATTGTTAATAATATTGATGTGATAGTTTTAGAGGTGAAAGAAGGATAGACAGCATGATTGTGATAGATCTTTCTATTCTCATGAAGAGCAAGAGAAGGAAGTGGTGGAACCTAGTGAGGAGCTCCAAATTATCTGAGGGATATGTAAGATAAAAGCAAGATTATAAATATATATTTCTTACTACAAAAATATTATTTCAAGCCACCAAACTAATAAGCAAAGCAAATGCCAAGAAGCTTTTCCTAGGAAGAATGACTTTCCCTATCTTAATTATTTCTTTCAAACCATTTTTTTTTACTAAATGCTTGATATTTAAAAATATTACACCAGAGAAAAGATAAATAGCACAAAAAGAAATCTCAATTGTGTATGCATATTAATAAATTCATCATTGAGTTTGTTTTGGGCTTTATATCTAAATTATAAAATACAGATATTTTCAATTATATTGATTATAGTTCTCGCACAATGAAACAACACTCTTTAATTCTCAAAGTATGGTTCACATAATATAATATTATTCAATATTCTCAATTATATTGATTGTACTTTATGCACCTTGATACTTAATAAAATGAGGTAGTAATGTTCACATAACACAATGAAGATTAAAATACCAACAGACTAGGCACTTAGCATTCTCTTACTAATGTCTGTCACAACTAACATCCATTCATTAGAAATAAAAATTTAAAACTTAAAAAAATAAATAAAAAGTACATTGATAATTCAAGCATTAATATTATATTAACTTGTGTTGAGCATGAACCACATCAATGCTCTTGAACTTAGAAGATGTTTTACATGATGAGATAAATTTTAAATAAGATAGCAAATCTCCAATTTCAAGAACCGTTTAAGTGTTTGGTTGGGGGAGATAAACATGTAAAATCAAGTCTTGTAAAAGAGGAGCTATAATATCTGCATGTAGGCTAACAATTCAATCCCAAAGCTTTTATTTTAGTCACTTTATTTCAGCAATTGTCGTAATTTTGGGAATGTTCTTGTGTTTCTCTACTTCCAACTTCAATACTTTTAAGAATCCCTGTGGCACATATTTAAGCTTAATCTCTTGAAGGCATGGCAAAAATCCAATTCCAATGACACGTGTACGTTGCGAGCACAATTTGAAAACAAGTTTCTCAAGAACAGGCATGCAATCCATCTGGAACTCAATACGAAGCAGATCACAGAATTGCAATATCTTCAGGTTTCGAAAACCTCCATCACTAAACGACAACTCTAGTGACATGCTCAAAATGTGACATAGTCTAAGGCAAAGCAAGTTGGGAAGAGTTTTGAAGACTTCCAAGTCATCCATTTTTTCTACATGTATATCCAATTTGGTTAGGCTTGTGAGAAAGGAAGTAGGATTTTTTATGTTCAAATAAAATATTTGCGATGGTTTTGGCAAGCCAAATAAGGCCAAGGAAAGAAGAGACCCACTTAATTTTTCTAGAGAAGCACTTAATGAGGTATATATTTTTGGAGATCTTGAAACCACGATAATCCGTAGCTTCGTCAATTGAGTTAGGTACCCTAGTTCCTCATCTTCTTTCATATTATTAATTTCCAAGCCCTCCAATGTTTGCAAATCTTTGAGATTTCTCAACATTCCAAGTTTAATAGTTGACCAATATATAAGAAGATGGCGAAGCTGTCGAAGTTTTGCAACTGAGGAATATAACGTATGTAAGCCAACAAAACTTATGTCCAATGTCACTAAATTCTGAAGCTTACTTAAAGATTTGAGGAAGGTAGACTTTAAATTTTTTGAATAAGTTTTTAGATAGGTTTTTTTCAGGCTCAAGTATCGAAGATACCTTAACTTAGAAAGAATTTGTAAGAAGCTACCCATTTCTGCTTCATGGTTAAATTGATAATATTCGAACACCAAGACTCTCAGTAATTTGAATCTTGGAAGCAAGGCTGGGATCTTTTCATAACCATAAATAGACAATGATGTAACCTGTGATAGGTCAACATTATCTGGATAGCATCCAATTTGATTGCTTTCTCTCTGATGAGATAATCGTCGAATCACATTTTCATCTTGAAGAGTTTCTCTACTCAGCTTGCCATCAATTGAAACCATATTTTCCTCCTTTGACTTGAAGATAATAACTTCAAGCATGAAATCATGAATTCGACAGCTTTTCACCTTCTCAGTCCTACCCACTTTTGACGGCAAGATAAAACTTCTACTAACTAGCTCATTGAAATAGTACTCTGCTACAACCTCTGCGCTCATGGCATATTGACTGCACCCTAGCCTCTCAGCTACCCAGAGTTGAATCAAATTCTTGCGTTTAATGAGATGGTCCTCTGGAAAAATGCCAAGATATAGAAAACAAGGCTTGAGGAGGTGTGGGAGGTGATTGTAGCTAAGAAGCAACACCTATTTCATGCCTTCAAGGCTTGGTTTGGTTTCAAGCATTAAGGATAAGTTGTTGAGCAAATTTTTCCATAGGTGATGGTCGTTGAGGGTTGGCATGCTTTTGAGAACTCCGTCCATTGCAACAATCGCAAGTGGAAGTCCACCACTTTTTGCAACAATATCATTGGCTACATTCTTTAGATGCTCCGGCCAGTGCTTATCGGGACCAAACACTCTCTTACAGAACAACTCCATTGACTTTTACTTTGAGAGCAGCTCTAGCTTGTAGACATAGTCAGCCCCACTAGTATCGACACAACAATTATTCGCAACTTCTTCTATTCATGTTGTGACTATTACTCTGCTTCGATTGTTGTTTTTGGGTAGAGCATATTTTATGATCTCCCATGCGTCAATGCTCCATATGTCATCTAACACTATAATATAACGTTTGTTATGTAGAAAATTTTCAAGTTGTTTGATGAGATCCTCCTTACTTTGCATGTTGTCAAAGCCCTCCTTGCATTCAATTTTGTTAATAGAATTCTTTTGTATTTTCTTGAGATCCATTTTATAGTCAGGAGATGCGACTTGCCTGATGATGTCTCTTAGAAGAACATTCAGGTTGAATGACTGTGAGATGGTGATCCAGGCACGACAATCAAAGTACTCATTTGTCATTTGAAGGTCCTCATATACTCTTTTTGTGAGAGTGGTCTTACCAAGTCCGCCCATGCCTAACACTGAGATGAATTTACATTGCTGCTCATCCCTAATCAGTAAATCTTTAAGCATTCTTCTAGGTTCATCAATGCCCACCAATTAAGCCTCTTGCGTGAACAAGGCACCAAGTCGATGGTCGACGAAGCAGGATCCCATTGAGCTAGAAACATTATAGGAGAATGAGGTTATTGTAGTAATGCCATAACGCAATCGGCAATCACTTATGTGGGCAATCCTGTATTTGAGGTCTTGAATCTCAGCTGCGATCTCATGACGAACATGTAACGTGAAAAGCGATTGAAGCCGACAACCCAACAAATTTAAGAAATTGCTGCAATGAAACAACATGAACGGTTATGTGGTGCTCATTTAGACATTTTTAAAGTTAAAAAGTTATGGGTTCAAACATATTCAAAATTTTACCTAATTATAATAGTGATCTAATATTAAGGTCACTATAAATTAATAAAAAACATTTATTAAGTTTAATAAATTTAATTAGATGGCTTTTTAGTCTACACATTTGATAATAAGGAATCAGATTTAATACATTTTATTGAAATTTATAATATCCAACATAAAAAATAAATCTTAATATTTTAAGATTTATTTATTGTTCGTTAATAAGGAATTCAGTGTAATGCATGTCTATATCTTAGTAGGGATCAATTTGCCCAATGCATTCAAAATATGTATTTTACATCAAAGCAAAGTAAAGCTCGTGAAAACATAGAGCTCACTAAGGAGAACTTATCAAGCCATTACAATTATGGTACTTGCATAAGTTGATGACTACGCGCTACCAAATTGTTAGGACCTAATTAATCTAGTAAACTCAGACTTAATGGCTAATTAAATCAATTCAACCAAGCCAGTTTGTCTGAAAACTCACCAAAGCATGCACACCAACTTCAAAGCAGATTTGCTCATTTGGAGAACACCATATGTTTAGTGCAATTAATATTTAAAAGTTAAAAAATTATTAATAAAGTATGGTAAGCCTTCATTAGGCCTTACAATATAATTTATTCATTTTCATTTATCTTCAAGTCTGGATTTTTTTTTTATATAAGTTTGAATCAAATATTATTTCAAGTTTTGTGAACATATTCTATTGGAAAGAGCTTAAAACCAAACAAAACATCTACAAAATAAAGAATAACAACACAAGAAATAATGATTCGTAGTGGAAAATCAAGGCTTCATCATTAGCCAATAACTAAATGATGCATATTAAATGGTAATCAAATAAGCCATTTGGACTAAACATGTACTTACAAGAACAAGAGAAGTACCATGCAAAAGTTGAAAAACACAAATGGCCCATGCCCAAGGAAAAGTTTAGATTTATTTTAATATAATATTTATATTAATGAATTCTTTTTTTTTTGTAAAAGTTTCACTTTATATTAATAGCTTGGAGTTCCAGTATATATTATTTTCAAATCTATAGTATTGGTTTAAAATTTAATTAATGACTTTCACCAAAACACCTAAATAATATCATTTTTGTCAAGATAACTTGAATGTCATCTTGAGTTAAAAACTTTCAAAGGTTGCGCAAAACTTTACGAAAATTAAACTATGCCACAATACAAATTAAATCATATGCAACTTGCTTTTAGGTAGTCTTCCACTTTAAAAAAAAATAATGAGCATATAATTTTATATGGTAAAACTAAAGGGATATTAGATGAACGAACTAGAGAAAATATTGGATCTTTGAAGCTGACAGACAGAGCCATCGTGGATGGCTCTGTACAAATTCTAGAACACTTAAGAGCAGTTCATAGTGGTATGAATTAGGATATTTGAAGGTGAAGAACGGGGTTATGAAAGGGGATTGGGTTTGGCACATTGGATTTGGTTCTGGATTTAAGAGTTATAGTGTGGTTTGGAAGGCGCCGAGAGATATAAATCCAATGGGAAGCTATCCATGGCTGAAAGAGATTGATATGTTTCCTGTTGTTGTGCCCAGGATTGAAACTATTAATGATACTTTGAGCACATAGACTGGTTCTTCTTTTCTTTTTTAATTAGTTTAAATAACTTGTTTATCTTAAGAGGCTTATTGTTGGAATTATCTTTTGTTAATCAGATTAATGACATTTTTATTTTTTAATTAATTGCAAGGCTAATTAGACCATCTATTGTACGATGATTTAATTGATATAAGTGTCTTCTTTCTTTTACTCTTTATTTGTATAAAGTTGTTTTTAAGTTCGTCCAATATGATTTTGTTTTTCGAAGAAAATGTCGGTGTTACTCATGGCGATTTGATTTCATAATAAATTACTAATTACTTGGTAGTTTTACTAAAGAAATGTTCTTCTAAATCTTACTATGATAAAAATTAAGAAAAATAGTCTATTTTTTAAATAATTTATTCAATACATATCAAGAAGTATAAAATTTAATTGCATCTAAACAAAAATATTTTTAAAGAACTAATGATAATCTGTCAAATCGACTTACTACTATACCTTTATTCATGTAATCTCTAGCTGTATTCATAATATATAGTTATTTTATTATACTTGTATGCAGATATACAGTTTATTCATTTTCTAAAAATAAATATATAATTATAAATTCAGTCATGCATATATAGATTTTTTCATTTAATGAAAATGCATTAAAGAAATTGGTATATGGCTTCTTTTTATTCTATTAGGAGATACATGAATAGATCGAAAAACGAATATATCATTAACTAAGGCACCACATTGCATTGATCACCTTCAACACGTAAACAATTTTTCAATGCTACTAAAGTTAGTAGGTCCAAGCCTCCTTGGATACAAAAATCTTGAAAATGAGTACAGATAAGGATATGTACACTAACGTAAAAAATGGATCATCTAATGGTATATATTCAAATTAATGTATGGAATGAATGAATTGATAATAATTGTTTTACAAAAAAAAAAAATTAATATGAGACCAATAAAAAAATATTATGGGATACACTTCCACAAAAGTTTATCATCAACTTTGAGCTCATCAACAGCTTTTCAATTCACGGATATTAGCTAATCTATAAAAATTTCCATGTCATCAAAAATTTTGTTAAGTTTCTTCTATGTAGAAAAAATTATTACAAGGGGTGTCTGAACTCGTCCGGAGGCGAATCCGGAAGCACATTGTCACCGGGGGTCCAGTGTATCCTGTGACGTGGCGCGTCCGGATTTGCCTCCGGACACTGCACTTAATAATCTATCTATTGATACCTTTTCTATACTATATAAGTTTACTTTAAATATATTAAAATAATATTTTTTTAATATACTAAATTTTTTTTTTTTTATAATTATCATAATTTTGTTCAGTTTTACATGAAAAGATTGGACTAGCTCCAGTGACATAAGATTAGAAAGAGTCACCTTAGATGGTCAAGAGTCACCTTATAGTTGGTCACATAAAACGATCACCTTCCGAATAACATATGTTAAAGAAGGTAAAGGTAGACCTAAAAAGACTTGGCTAGAAAATATTAGAAATGATATTTCTTTAAGTCTAAATGAGAAAATTGACCTCTTAACGAAGACACAAAATGGAGAAAAAGGATTCATATAGCCGAACCCACGTGTAGTGGAATAAAAGCCTTGATGTTGTTGTTATATCATAGTTTTTTTAGTAACAAAAAAAAGAAAAACACATTTCTATGAATGTAAATTGTATTTTTTAATCCAAAGTATTTTCTTGTAGAAATTGAATTCAAAATAAATATTATGAAAAAATATATGAAAGGGATATGCGTAAAAGTCCTGATCGACGTTTTAAGTAGATTTCCAAACTTGTCCAGCAGTTTTTTCTCCATGTCCGAAAACCTCTCTGACTAGCCCACCCAACTTACCTTTGCCATGTGAGATGCTGGTCTCCTGCTGTCTCTTCTCTGCATTTCCTGAGAAAGGCCTTATATCATCTTAAGGTGCTCACATCACTTATAATAGGTGATTTCCCCCATGAACAGCTCCAGCAAAAGACCTATACTTCTTCGTGTCCAGATTTTGCCAGGTTAACTTATCACTTGCCCTTCCAATGAGTTGAAAAGTGTTAATAAACATTGTTGAGCATACTGATTAGCCATAATCAGCTTATCTCTCTCTTTTTGGGAGAGATGAAGAAGCACTGATCCGTGCGCGAGTTTTTATATTTCGTTTTAGAAAGGATTACTTGAGCCAAGTATAGTTCCCTATAAATTTAAGAAGTGGAACTAGGCTTTAGTTTGAAGATGTCTTTCTTTTCTGACTCTCTTAAAGAATATTTTAGTTATATTATTAAACAATTTTGTACTAGAAGCTGTTTTTAAAAAATTTTGTGTACTAAAATAGCTGCTTAATCTATAGCAGAAAAAAAAAAATCCGATAACCCAAACGAGAGGCTATAAAGATTCCCTCAAATGAAAAAATAAGTGTACATAAGTCACACTAATAAATATCTCCTTTATCTTAATTAAATCGAGTCGGATTAGCTGTAGACTAATTTAGATAAATAGGCTAATTCCAAAAACAACAAAAATTTTTAATAAAATTTCATCAGTAATTGCTGAATTAGTGTCTTCCCAAAAAGCCAAGTCATTCCTGCCCTTCCGGACCTTAGGCAATCATACGATACCTAGCGTCTTAAGGCTTGGTTTGAAAATTTTTTATTATTTCTTTAAACAAGTTTTTTATTACAACAATTTAATATTTGTACCTAAATTTTTTTAAAAGAAACAATAAGAAAATCATCTAAGCTAAGCTTTAGTTTGCTTAAACTTTTTTCGATCGAAAACATTAAAGCTCTTTTAGTTTCTTTTGAAACTCAGTTCACTTATATGAGCATAAAAGTGACTAATCTTAGTGGCCTGAAAGTTTACTTAAAGTAACACAATGCATTAAGTGGTTAAATCTGAAGCCTGTCACGTTGGAGGTGTTCAAAGAGTCCATACATTATCTACAAAGCAATCTTTGTAGCTTAAACTATCCAGGAGTAAACATTATCGCTTTCACTATAGATATATCTTTACAGTAATATCAGTATACAAACTTCATGATCGTCCACGACACACAAGTCAAATGGTTATCTAACACTAGTGAGAACTGTTATGTCCTTTAATTTTTGTTGATAAAAGACATTTTCTAATATGTAAATTTAACACCATTTTCTATTTTATTTAGAAATAATTGAAAATGTAAAACTTCTAAATTTTTTATCTATTATATGTATATTCAAAAATTTTATAAATTACTTAGAAGCATTTCTCAAACTTCTCTTTATATATCTTTCTCAAGTGTTGAATATTTTCACTCTTCCATCAAAAATTAATTAGAAGACCTTCATAATTTATGTGCTACATATGCATTGCCCATCTTGTATTTTAAATGTAATAGAAGAAATATTTCCAATGAGTTTATATTTTTTTCAATATGAGTATTAGATAACTATAATTATATTTACACAGCTTTTAGTAATCAAAGTTAATCCCGTTTAAATTATATATTTTGGATGATCTTTAACGATGTTGTCGATAGACACCCTACTCCAAAACAATGATTCATGATATATAATATAAAAATTAATGTGTTGTTTGAATATTATACTTTACATATTAATAAAAATACTAAAGTATATCACGAGTATGATATAAATTATATGTAAAATTGCTAAATAAATATACAAGACATAACATTACTAATACTTTTACCACACTATCTTTGTTGGGATTTAAATTTAACAACTCACATTGATATGATCTGAATGGTATTTGTATTTAAATACAAAATACAACTATAAATGTATCAAAATTCATTTACCCTTAACTTTTGCAATGATTGTGAAGGGCCACTATTCCATGTGTTGTTTTCACAATTTTAGCCATGCCTAATTTTCAAAAGAAATTATCCATATGAATGAGCAACCCAAAATTTATCCCTAACAAAATTAAATTCATGATGCATTTCGGAAATGGTGTAAATGATGTCGAGTATATAAAATATTTTTCGTACCTAAATAATAACTTGAAAAGAATAAGAAAAATACACATATACCAATTTCTGTATAATGAAAATATTGTTAATGATGCTTTTCGGGTAAGTTTTATATTTAGTGACTATTTTATTATTAGGACAATTTTTTATACGTATAGTCTACACAAAGCTATTCTCTTTATACGTATATAAGTGAATATTAAACAGTAGTCATAAGTGTTCTCTTCAAGTGCACCAAAAAAATAATAATATATATATTTTATGTATTTATAATCCACAAATTCATGATGCACAACAAATAATGAGGTTATAAAGATGAACATATAGAGTCCGTGGCTCTGTTTTAAATATCAAGATTTACATATTCTCAAATAAAGATAGTATGAAAATATTCTTTGATTTAATTAATAATTTTTCATAAATGTTAATCCCAGAAATAAAATAAAGATAAAATCATTGATTAGTGGGGCGTTTCCATATATATATATCAATATAACCAATCACAAAAGACTATGTATACATGGAATATCAAAAATAAGGCACTTACAAATTCCTTTGAGGGATCCATCACTCAATTTTATGGATCCCTATCTAATTACAATAAAGAAAACAAAAATAAGGTAGGCAAGAAGTCAAATCCCAAAAAATAAATCCCAACAGAATTGAGAATATCAATCACCCTCTAAGGTATCAACAGATTATCTACCAAAAAGAAAGAAAAAGTAGAAAATATAGCAAAGAAGCGAGCTACTACAAAACAGACAAAGGTTAGAAAAGTTCTAAGGAAAAAACAAAAGCCAAAACCACCACACAATAATAGGAGGACAAAGAAGAAAACCAGAAACAAGCAACAAGAACCCTACAGAATTAAAAGGAACACCTAGAACTGACCAAGCTAACAGAAAGACAACATCCAAGGAAATAGACCAACCACAAACCAAACAAACAAAAATAACACTAGACAACAAGACATTACCTACCAGTGGAACACAACCAGCCAACAGCCCAACGAGTCTTATGTAGTAGAAAAAAATGACTAACCCAACATAGAATAAGAAACAACAAAAAGAATAAGAAGTTAAAAAACCCACAGATAAACACCAGACTAAACAAACCCAACAGAACATAGTAGAACAAGAACCCCATTATAACCTTGACAAGGAAATCTAACTGAATGAGCAGGTAAAAGAAACCTCATAGAGAAAATAATATAAAGACAAACAAATGGCACAAGGAAAAGGTAGTATCCCCCAAGAAGCACAAACCAACTAATTTATAATGTAAGGCTACCCTGAAGCATGTAGTATAATTTTGCGTTTAAGAATTGTAGGAGCGTTTAACATGCTTAAAAGCACAAAACAAATTTTAACAGAGCCTTTCTTATTCAACCACACCATGCATGCATTGCCACCCCTTTTAATTTAAGAGATTCTAAAAGAAAGAATACTCATTGAATCCATAATCTTCTGAAAATATATAAAAACTATTAGCATTAAGACATTTTTTGCAATAATCAAAGAAACCAATCTTTTTTAATATGTTTCATTCCAAATTTTCTAAGTGTTTTTGTCATAGATAATCTTTAGACCATTAAATATGGCATACAAATCCACACATAAAGAATCACAATTAATAATATTGGAGGCAAAGCGACTAACCATCCTAACATAGCAATCAAGAATCAAGCCACCATAACCTTTTCCAGAACTAGAAAAAGAGCCATGAATGTTAAGTTTAAACTCATTAAAAGAAGTCTTGGACCAATGATGATGAAAGGAGGAGAAACCACATTTGAATTATCACCATGGATATTGAAGAATGTAAGCAAATCTTTCCTCACTCTAAAATGCTTTAATGCTAATAAACCAACCTTGAAGAGCTATTGAATTTTGAAAAACAAACATCTTAAAATCCTTTGGTGACACATTTTAATATCATTGTAGTTCCTCTTATTCCTTTCATCCCAAAGAAGCTAGCAGCAATAGAATGGCAACGGAAATATACATTTTAACTTTAAGCTGAAAACAACCATCTAAAAAAGCCATAATAAACTTTTTATTAAATATCAATTTTAATTTGCAAATTTTTCTCTAAAACAATCCAAACTTTAGGAGCAAAACACCCATTCAAAAAAGTTTGGCTAATAATTTCAACATGATAGCAACATTTATATTTATAAACCAAACATAAGGCTTTTCCTTTTAACCTACTATCAACAGGAATATAACATTTTTAAAATTCTCCAAGCTACCATAGAAGTGTTTAAAGGAGTACATGAATTTTAGATTTTACCAAAAGTAGGAATAACATTTTATTTGTTTCTAAAGAAGCTCCACACTATGTTAAGACTAAAGTGTCCATCCTTAGATAACTTACACAAAACTTGATTATTACAATTACTATTAAAGGGAATGTTGCATAGATATCCATTAAGCTTTGAGGAATAAATTCAAAAAGATGGTTTTTAGACAAAATATCATTGTTGATGAACCAAGATACTTTTAATGAGGAGGAATAATATGTGTTGAAGTGAGCATCCAGAGTCCCATCACCAGACTAATCATCCAGCCAAAAGAAAGAAGAAGTGTTGTGTATTCCATATTAAATGATTGATTTAGCAAACAATTTAATATTGTATAACCTTTTCCACCTAAGAGACCTCCCTTTCTTTAAAGAACAAGGGGTCGGATGTTTACTCTTAAAATATTTCTTATTCGTAAATATGGCTCAAAGATAATCATTTTTCTTGAGTTTCCACCATTACTTCAAAGAAAAACTTTTAACCAAATCATTAAAAGACTTATAAACTAGACCCACTCAAAAAAAGGGCTGGCATAAGCACCTCA